AAAAAAAAAAAAAAAAAAAAAATCCAAATTGTAGAGCTCTAAAGTTCGGGAAGTTCGGGCTAGGCTGGGCTTTCTTTCAGGGCTTGTAGGCCTTGATGCAGACCTGTCTACCCTTTTTCATTGTAAATGTCAACATTCAATTTGTTCACATGTCAAAAAAGTCAAACATAATAATTTTTGACAATAACAACGATTGGAAAAGGAAAGCGTGGCACCCACTGATACACATGAAGTACAGGGCTTCGTTAAAATAATGCGAAAGTGGGAAATATTCATCATATTATTCTATTTTGTCAGTAATCATTATTATACTATAGGGACATCATTAATTTATATGCATTCAGATCGACTGCTAAAGTTAATAATTACATTTTAAAACTTAAAACTTTTGTTTTAATGTCGTCTTCAGCGTACATTCAATTTTTAGTTTTCCTAATACTGTATATATAAATAAAATGATAAAATGTATATATATATATATATATATATATATATATATATATATATATATATATATATATATATATATATATATTGCTATATATAAAATCATTCCTTATTAAAAACACTATAAAAGAATGTTGTGACAAAAACCAAGGTCATGGCCTAATTAGGCACATGCAATCCGCCACTATCTGTGTCATTTTCAAGAAATGTCTCAAAAGGAAACATTTATAGGTATCGTTAGATGTATACAACATACATGAAATAAAAATTTTACAACATAATAAGAAAAAAGTAGTCAATATAGCAATGGTAACAGTGTATCTGAGGTAAATTATTATCAACTAATGTCCTCTATCTTTTAGTTTACTCCACAAGTGCTTCATTTAAATCATTATATCATACTGATTTATTTAGTAAGCATAAAATAATGACACAGGAAGAACCGTAAGTATAGTTAAATAATAGTTAAATATATATGAGCAATGAAAAAATATCGAAACATTACTTTCAACATGAATGCAAAATAATTGCAGTCATAATACCATGTCCATGATGTAAACACACAGGGTACATTTTTCTGCTACACAGTTAGCGCCGGCGCGCCGCAGTTCATTCAGTGTGTTTTGGCACACGCATCGTATGTAGAAGCATGGAGGTATAAAAATATTTTATACCTCCATGGTAGAAGTGTATGTAGGCCAGCCTGCTCCCGGTTTATCTATATATACATTTTTTAACACAATTATATTTTTTATTTTTCATATTATATTTTTAAAAATTTTTCTTTTTAAACTTTTATCAAAACACAAACAAAAGTTGGCCCCTACATGGTTGAAATGTAACATGGTTCTGAATTCACTTGACTTATGTACCTCTCTTAATGTAAAAGAGTGAAAGTTACACTCCACACTCAGAGTGAACTAATTTTCGCTCTAGGAAGAGTGACAATCCACTCCCATTTGAGCGAATGTCACAATCATTCAGGATCAAACGGTTCACTACTTCATAGAGTGGTCCTATATTATTTCCGCTCTTGACAATCGGGGGATATGAGTTTGAAACAAGGCAGCCAATCAAATACAAGCATTTTCCAGATTTTTCCGGTTCCAAAGAACAACTTTCCACCAGTCGCGACGACAACACTGCTGCAAGTGCGACGTGTACATGAGGCAGTGAAGCAGTTTTTGCGTCAAATCTTCGGTGATGAAAATCAAGTTTTCAGTATTTTTGAAGGTAATTACTTTCTAAAATAACATGTAGAACACGTTAAGTATTGAACTGTACTTTTATTATTGGTAATTTGATAGCGGGATCGACAGATTTCCTGGTCCACTCGCCGACTGTCTCTTGATTATTGCAGACGGTTAAATTTTAATTTCAACATTTAAAAATGCCCTCGTTATACTAAGTACGACCATGCAATTTAGGGTGGGTTTTGTGTCTGAGAACAAGGCCTAAGATATATTTCGCTTTTTTGTAATTGTGTACTACCACAGCCTAGACCTAGCCTAGGCCCCAGGAGTAGGCCTAGGCTATAGGGCCAGCCTAGGCCTAGTAATAGTATGTTGTATTAGTATTTTTGTAGCCTAGCCTAGGCGGCCTGGGCTAGGCTAGGTAGGAGAGGGTCCAAACTGCGGTAGTCCTATGGGAATATTAAAAATATGATAAATCAGACTTAGAACGACACGAATTATGCATTTAGCAAACAGTATAATTATATTAAATTAATCATTATATTCAGATTAACTTGGAATCTGTCTCTTATACACATCTCATATGATCTAACTAGCGGTAGTGCTGTTAGGTTAGTGAAGCAGCGTGACCACTCACAATTTTTGATATACCCAATGACTGGGTCGAAATTACTCAAGATTCAGCAAAAATTTCCCTAAATTACCCAAGCTTCCTGAAAATGCATTAAAATTTGAAAAAAACGTGTTTTTTCGCATGTATAGTTTCCCTTTTAGTTCAATTTATAAACCATTTTTTATTGTAATTGTTTGTGTTAATTATTAAAATTAATATTCATGAGGTGATAATACAGATAGAAAAATACGCTCTCAGTCGGCCAGTGTTATCAGTAGATCAGTGATCAAGTTTTATTATGTAATGCATTAATTAAGTAAGATCAATGGCAACGCAAATCACAAATAAACAATTCTGAACCCATGCTTATAGCAATTAACAGTCAATTACCAATGTTATGTGCACTTCGTTGAGTTTTGCTTACTTGAATGGACTGACATATACTTTGTTACTTCTTAATTCTTCCTCTGTGACAAAAATATTTAATTTTCTTAGTAAAAATAAAATAACCAAGGATTTCAACGGAATACCCAAGAACCCAAGACCAAGTCAAAATACCCAAGATCTTGGGTAAATACCCAAGCAGTGGTCACACTGTAGTGGAGGTCTAGCCTACAGCTTTTCCCCTGTTGGAGAGAAAAACCACAACAAGCGTCAGTGAGAAAAATGTATTTTAATAGACTCTAAAATCGATTGAATAAGCAGTTTAACCTTACACTACAAGTTTCAGAAGAAAAAATTTCATTTATTTTAGTGACAGAAATATAATTAAATATCATTTTTTCTAAGAGTAATAAAATAATGTTTGATAACAATTGAAGGATAACAATTTTTCCTATATAAGCTGTTTATAATTTAAAATTTAAAGAAATTATTTTAATCAATTTTTATAATTAATTTTTATGAATAATTTTGAAAAAAAGATTAAAATACTTAGTTAACAGCCAGAATAAAAAAAACGTATCTTCAAATCAGCATCAGCACAAATTAGTACTTTACAAAGTAAAACTAAATTTGAAATCTATCGATCAAGAACTTTGGAAAATGATAAAAATTTACCTTGGGGGGGGGGGGGGGAGGAGCTATAAGTCAAATCCCCAAAGCCTACAAACTGGTTCAGCCACTCCTCGCCTAATTTACCCTGTGACGTAAAATCCATAATTCATTATATCCGCCTATCAATATAATTTTTTCTAAGAGTAATAAAATAATGTTTGATAACAATTGAAAGAAAAAAATAAATAAATATGTTCTTTTTTCAGATGGAGTGGCTCAAGTACTTGCCACCTACCAGTGAAAACAGTACCCAACTAAAGAATTGTCTGAGGAAATCTTTCCAGTGTAGGAGAAAACAAATGCAGGAAAACTGCATCACTGGCATTCTTGAAGAAGTGCCCAGGTTCCGGGACATGCAAGAGCTGGTGAGTGTATATATAGTATGTAGGAATTTTGATGGGGAGTCTTTGTCATAAAAGATAAAAAAATGGAAAAATGGAGAAAAACCATTCACTAGGTTTATGCATAGGCCTTATAAAGATCTTTTAAAGTCTTCAATTCAGTTTCAAAATAAAATGGTAGGCACAATTACAGTAATATAGGCTGAGAAAATTTAGGCAAATGTTTCTTAAAAATGTTTAATGAAAGATTTGATATATCGTAATTGGCAGACACAAATTATTATCGCATAAATCTATCCTCAACAATCACTGTTTACTTTGATTGCAATAAAGTTATTTTGAAATTTGAATTAATTTAAATGTTTCAGATTAACTTGGAATTTGACATGATGCATCCAGGATTTGGATCAAACATGCTAACAAAATGGAAGCCCTACTATTACCCAAAGTTTGTGCAACTACAGTAGAAGAAACACAGTAAGTCATCAGAAGCCATGGTTACATATTGTTATATTTTATGTTAATGCATACATTGCAATAAGTAATTATTAGTTGCGCTATTACGTACTTGTAGACCTACCGAGACATCCTGTTTCTAGACGCGATGACATCATACATCATCTGCAGATTTAAATTAAGCTAAGATAGCAATGCATTTTTTGAACATTAAAGATCTGAAATATTACAAATATCCGATTCAAAGATCATCTAATTCAAGAGTACATAGAATAATTTACACCACTCTTGGTACCGTTTAATAGGGAAGATGGTGGCTACTTTTTCTTAAATAGAAACATGTTTTACTTTGCAGATGAGCTGGATGAATTAAAACTTCTTCTACAGAAATTGCCAACAGCCTCATCAAGAGTTAGGAAGACCAAAGGCTATGAAGCTTTTACTTTCATTGTGCAACACAAGCCAGTGAGTAATTGCTCAATCTTTTCTATTTTTCATAAATTCCTTACAGAACTTGAAAATCCCCACGTAATTAAATGTAATGTGATTTTTGTTTAGTCCCTTTAATTTGCTTGTACAGTATAATGAAAATTCTTGATATTGTGTATGGTAGACTGAATTTGCAGAGAATTCAAAATAATTTAAAAAAATATAATGGGGGAAATAAAGAAAATTACATTCAAATATAATTTTGATATATGTGAGTGCTAATTCCAGTCATCTGTAGTTGCCATAGACATAAAATGTTGTACTATTCATCTGTGAAATATTCTCCCTGGATCCCCGCTATTTCAAATTCCTAGATCCACCACTAATTTTACAGGTGTTTTGAATTTAATATTTTGTATTAATGTTATGGCTGGAAATTGCATAAATAGGTAAAAGAAAATATAGTAATTATTAATTCATCAACTTGCAGATTGTTTCACCCTTTTTCAAAGATCACTTTTAGCCCCTATAATATTAACCAATAACCCTCAATTTGCATTTAAACCAATCTGTGTAAAAGTGAAGAGGGGAATGGAAAGTGGAGATGGGGAGGCTGGTGAGGAAAAATAAAAGTCAGCAAAATAAAGCTACTTTCCATTTATAGATATGGCAATATAAATGGATTCATTTTGTGGCTGTCAGTGAAGTGAGTAAAATAATAGATATCCTTTCGTCTTCGGCTGATATTTGGTGAATAGTGTCCCTGTATTTTGAGTGTGGTGAAATTAATATTGTATCACTCTTTATTTTATCTCTTCAGGCTGGGACAGATGTTGATGTATTTGCATCAAAGAAAGACGAAGTGTACGCTCAGCCTTTCCTTCTTGCCATAGGTGATTATGACGATCCCACAGAGTTCTTCTTAATCGTGGACGCGACATCAATACCTGGTGGAAAGACATTGGTTGAGGCTTTTGGTCGTCTATTCAAGGTTCACTACATATTCAATGTGCAGTTTGCCAAGTCACTCATCACATTTTACAATTACTTTGAGGGTTTTGTGTATGAAATGATGACAAATATTAAACCGACAGTCAGAGAGCTGTATTCAAAGCTCAGGCGTGAAACTGATGATGAATAGGGTTATGTCATATGACATCCATTTTTAAGCATATACCCATATTTGGGCAATTCACACAAATTTGTCACATCAAATTTAATGGTGTGGATTGCGCTTTAACTGTTACCGAAAGAAGTTCATAATGTTCAATGTTCTTTGAAGTAAGACAGTATGAAAAACTCCAAAAAGAAAAATTTGAATCTATTTCAAACTTTATTCGTTCATGTTCAGGATTCCTGAATATGAATGACTGAAGTTTGAAATATAAAACCAATGAAGGCTTGTATCACTTTTTTCGAAGGACGTTCTGTTTATTCCATTTTTGAAATAAAACAAAGTTAATGATTATACTCTGTGTCAGTTTCATTTGTTTGGTTGTACACAATATTAAAAACACCACTCTTGAAAAAAGAGTAGTTGGTTTCACTCTAAAGTGAGTGAATTATTTTCACTCCTTTTAAACGAGTGGTACAATTTTTACTCTTTTGAAAGAGTGTGTTTCACTCTTTGCAGAGTGATGTGATGACCATTCTTTTTTCACTTCAAAAGGAGTTGTCCCTCAGTTAACTCTTTGAAAGAGTGGCATTTTACTCTGGTTTGAGTGGTTTTTCACTCTTTTACATTAAGAGATATGTGATAAAAGAAAAGGAAACATGCCAACCAACACACTACGGGAAGAAAATACATACAATTAAAACAAGACATGGTGAATTTATTTTTTCTAATTAAGAGTTACAGTCGATAATAATAGAAAGACACTAAGATAACAACTAAATTTAATTTGTGTGCTAATAAATCGGACCATATTCTAAATAATGATTTTGCCTACTCTGCCAAGTGAAGATCGAAAAATAAAATCACCATGAATGAAATATTTTTTGTAATAACAAATAGAACATTATGGTTAATATAAGCTGTATATAAACTGTTGATCAAAAATAATGATTTCATCCAACAATGATAATTGATAAACAACCTAGGCTCATAGGCACATGTATTCAAGAATGTAAATTACCGTTAATTAACAGGTAGCCATTCCTGAATACAACGTTTTCCCCTTAGTTGTAGGCCTTTGTCATTTCACATTTAACTTCACATTTCGTTCTGCAGCAGGAAAGTCCTCAATAATGAATATTTTTGTTTTTTTTTGGGCCTACTTTAATTGCTTTCTTGAGAACATGAAGTCCCAGTGAACTCGAAAAAAAATTAGAAAGTACCTGCCTGTATATGCCTGGGCTGACCGGTTAATTCCTTTCTGCCAGACGAATGCACTGTTTCGATCTGAATGCTTAGTATGTTTACAGTATTTGATTATCGAGTATGTCCACTATAAAATAAGAGGTTATGCCTTTGCCTGGTCCTTCAGTTAGTTATTTATTTGTCTGTCGGTATATTTGTTATGAACAGCGTACAGCCCATAGTTTTTATCAGAAATTCATCAAACTTGGCCACAATGCTCCTTTTAGTCTGTTGTCTTAGGCAGTGACGTAGCCAGGATTTTGAAAGGGTGGGAGCCATTATGCGAGGTACCTAGATCCGAGTAGGGGTGGGGTATCCCCTCCCTACGGCTGGGGTCTAAGGGACATCGCACTCTGAACGTTTTTAGGACTGTTTTGAGAGGATAAAGTGAAAAATTGCAATAGAAACATCATAAATATTAGTAACACTAAAAATAATTATAATAACTGTACAGATCCAGAAATTCGAAAGAGATGTGACCCAGGGAGGGATTTCACAGAATGAGGAACCACCCACATGAGCCCCACCATGGTTGGGGCTGAGGTAAGAAAATTTATGATTAAGGCACCTCTAGATGGCCGGTACACTTTCCGAGTTAAATTTGAATATAATCTTTTTTTTTTTTTCCATTTACAAAAAATGAGGGGTGGGGGTCCTTGAATCTGCCACTGCTCAATACATTCTTCATCCAAAATACTGTAGTCATAATCATGAAAAATGGGCATGAAAAACTGATCACATTCTAAAAACAAATTTATGCACCCTCGCCTAGCAGTCACCAAGCCATACTCTGAGTCAGCAGGTGCCGACTCAACGGAGTTTAAACATACTCAGGGAAGGGTGCAGATCTATTTTGAAAGGTGGAGGGGGACATTTGGTAAGGTTGGGGCTGAGGTGCTAAAATTTGAAGAAATAGTACCTCTAGGTGGCCAGAAATGACAATTTTAGTAGCTTAAAATTTATCATCACCACATCACCATTAATCAAAATGAAGAGCCAATAGTATTATAATAATAATAATCTTATTAATAGGCCTATGTGTGATATACAATTGAAAATAAAGTTTATAAACACTGTCTTTTAGTATGTAATTTACTGTACATACTTCAAATCCGTGATTTCACAACCACATCAGTCCCGCCATGGTTGGGGCTGAGGTGGGAAAATTTGAGGAAATATTACCGCTAGATGGGCGGAAATGACACTTTTACCATGGAGATGGTAAAAAGCATAATCACATCACCATTATATAGTCAAAATGAAGCGCCAACAAATTTCTCATGATCTTTTATCAGGGATCTATTTAATATTCAGGACAACTTAGACAACAATATCATATTTCTGTATCTTAAAAGACCTGGCCTGGGATTTATGGATTTAAGACGAATTTAAGATGATTTTTGATCAACCCCTTAAGCTGTAGAAGTTATAAACCCGAACATATACATTTTTGCGTTATCGTGTATAGTGAAAAATTGATTAATCTAACACGAATGTTCCACTGGGTGACTATCAGGTTAGCCGTTGACTTTTATTGATAGACGATTATGGTGGGTTTCTATCAGAGCACGGGCCACAAACTTATAGTAGAAGGAGTCAATTAGAAATATGACATAAGACAACAGACTACTTACCTAAGAATTTTGAAGGGTCATGGTCAAAGCTCAGGGTCACAATCAATAGAAAACTATTTTTTTTTATATATTTGTCAACAGCCTACAATTTTAATCACAAACTTGTCAAACTTAGTCACAATGTTCCATGACCCAATATCTCATTACCTCCGCCAACGATTTCATTCAGTACGAAACATACAAAGCATACAAAAACAGGGAAGACAACTACAAGATACTAAGGATGACCCAAGAAAGATAAAAAGGAACCTTATTTCCGTTGGGGTCCTTAATGTATGGGGTGCCATACGCAGCAAAAGTCAATGTTAAAATCAAAATGTAATTGCAAAATTCAATGTCTAATTTATTAAAACGTAGGCGTAAATTTCTCAAAATGTAGATGTACTAAAATAGCAATTGTTTGTATCCACCCTTTAGAATTTTGTGCACCACCCTTAAAATTCATTTTCTGAAATTTCACCATTCTTTAAAAATCCTGGTGAAAGGGTTGCCATGGGGAACATAAGACAATGAAGAGGGTGAAACAGTTTCATAATAAAAATACTGTCCCTAAAGGTAAAATTTGACAATGTTAAGGAGAACCTCAGACGACAAAAGAATTCCCCTTAAAATATGTTTTAAATGTAGTAGTAGTATCCGACGACAAGCAATCAAGAAAAAACTAAACTGGAACAACTCTCTCGACACGAAATGTTTAGTGTATCATACAAACGTTTAAATACCTGCCTCTGACCACAAGCAATCAAGACAAGACTAGACAAGAACGACTCGCTCGACACGAAAATTTTAGTTTATTATTAGTTTATATACAAACATTCAAATACCTCTGACCGCAAGCAATCAAGGAAAGACTAGACAAGAACAAACCCGCGCGACACAAAAAGTTTAGTGTATTATACAAACGTTGAGACCGCTGCACAACGGCCTTTGCTTCAAGATTTGAGCATGAAGGCAAGGCAAAAGCAGCTTTCTTAGCTACGTTTTTTGTCCGCTGATCGGTTAAAAAACGTATTTCATTTTTATTTTATCACTGAAAAATAACTACTGTAAAATGTTTAGCCCATAAATATGATGTGTGTGAAGAACAACATTAAACAATATTTTAATTCGGACCTTCAAAAAGCAGTTAAAAAGAAATGGCTATGAAATTTTAGGGGGGGGGGGGCTAAAGCCTGTTTAGCCCCCCCCCCCTATAAATCCGCCCCTGGTAAAGGAATTAAACATTTAAAAAGTGCAAAATCATATTTTAACAGAATCTGTACTATCTCCATGTTCCTCTAACATAAAAAAATATGAATATATTAAAGTACTGTAAAATCTCGAATTGAATTTAATTTTTTTTAGAACTTTGGATGGGCTTCTTTTCGAGTGCTGTAAATTTTCTGAATTTGTAAAATTAAACAATAAATAATGTCATTGTAATATCAATCTGTATAATGGAGTGTATTTAACTGGAATAAATCACCTAAATTAATGTATAAACCAATCTTGTTTTATACATACACTGGGCTTCAATTCGCGGTTTTTCGGCATACCATATATAACTTGAATACAAAGACTGTAAATCATATGGCCATGAAGAAATAGAACCTCGCTACATCAAACACTACTAAAATTTCTCGCTAGTAAGCACATTGCACACATGACATAAACAGTGTCTGCAGCCTTATTCATATTAAACGATGTAATGCTTTACATTGTTTGAAAGTCTACTTGTGCTCAGCAAGAAAACATTATTTTTCTAGAGTTACCATAGAAAAAGTACTAATCATATAAATAAGAATATGGTTTTCGTCTTACAACAAACTAATTGGAGTATTTTCCGAGAGTATTTAGATTCTTCTTCCTTTTAAAAATGCTTTTACTTTTATGATAACTATGGAGGGTATACTATATAATAAGAATTGTTCAAGGTAAATCCAAATTGTGAAAGGTGGCAAACGAAATGTACATGTACTGATTGCAAATCCAGGGGTGATTAAAACTGATCATGTTGGATGATATACAATGGAAATCTAATGACAACAGTAATTTGTAATCAAGTCAGAGCAGCAGTCATTAAATTGAGGTAAAATAACAAATATACTTTAGCTTCGGGAAATTTTAATTTTCTTCTTGTTATGGACACAAATGGAAGTAAGTTTTACTTTCGTTTACAACTATTTGGTTATCCAGGTTTAATTAGTTCATTTTAACTTTTACTTTGTATTTTTAATGCATGCTCATTCTATGTAATCATATTTGTGTAACCGAATATAACAAATCAAAATACTGACAATGTCACTGCATTTTGGTCAGTATAATTTCCAAATAGTAAGACAGGTAACAATTTTTAAGACTAATAAATATTTTATCAAGCACAAGCTTCAGGTGACCGTGAACAGCTTTGTTTTTTTTACACCAAATTACATTACCAAACACATTGAACTCCGTTGTTGTCGGGATGACTGCCGTGGTAATGCAGCAGCATTATTGTAATTCACTATTTCAGCCTTAACAATTTGCTGAATGAATAGATAAGGCAGTAAATATTAAACTTGAAACGTACATATTTAAAAAAAAATTAATCATATTTGCAAGAAGATTATAAGATCATCAGCACTGTCTTTCAAAACAAATTTCCTCAAAAAATTACTCGACAGCCCCCTCCCACCCAAAAAAAGTATTTTTCATAGAAATCGGAATAAGTAACAGCGGTAGTGGTTTCTTATAGTGTAATCTCTAACAATCAATCAACATAAAAAATAAAAAAAAATACATCGCAGATAGCTAGACCGATGCAGACCTGCCAAAGTTAAGGGAAAAAACATATGGGACGCTTACATAGGAAAAACCACACTACCTGAGCTCCACCATGGTAGTGGTTGAGGTAGATTTTAAGAATGCCTCCTTTAGATGGCCGTAAATGCATATTTAAACACTGTACAGATGCGGTACATTTATTTTGCAGACTACAGAGTGTAACTCTTGCCATATGCAAGAGCTTATGCAGTAAAGAAATGCATGACATTTAACTACATTTTACAAATGCATGCGGGACTGCAGAAAACATTGTTTTCTGTTACTTTCGCATTTAAAGTTAAGTTTACCAATTTTATATAATTTGGGACTGATTTAGCATTATCAGGTACATAATATCCAATTTTTGAAATTACGAACCTTGTGCGCGTTTGTTACGAAGATGCTCTAAACTAATGTGATGACGTGTCAGATGCATTGCTCCATCCAAGTTTAGTGAAAGATCAATGTAATGCATAGGATTGGGATGGTTCTTAGACCAGTATTTTGCATTCATAGTACTATACTCGCACGAATAAGCGCCCCTCCTAACTTGAATAAACACCCTCTCGATGTTTATTCATTTTTCAAAATAATATTACGTGACTGTTTTCTTAGCAAGCCAATAATCCAATCAATCCTGTGGTCGGCATGATTTTAGCTGTGGAGTGGCATCCTATTTTCCTCTTTTGTCAATTTCAAAATGAGGATATTTTCCCACTGGACAGATTCGAGCTACCTGGACAGTATTTTTCCCATTTCCTCTTCTTACATTTGTCTAGCCCGATTTCTTTTCTTTCCCTGATAATTTGCCCCTTTTAATCTGAGTTTGGAAGAAGCCGTGCAAATCTCAATCAGAAGATTGCCAACAAGCTTATACACCACAACCACTACTAATTTCATCTGCTGTTAAAACTCATCGCATTCTTGTCATGAGCAATACTCTCTGGACGATTGTCTTTTCTGCACAAGAACCATTCGTAATCTTTGGTTTCCAGATGTCCTTATAATCTTTTCTCCTTCAAAATGCGCCCCTTGAATTTTCCAAGTTAACATAAGAACCCCTCAATTTTCATATATTTCCATGAGTGCCCTCCCAATTTCCACTCCGTTTGAATAAGTGCCGTTTGAATAAGCGCCAATCAAAAAGTGCAACAAAATATTTTAAGCGCGTGTACTTATTTGCACGAGTACGTAATTCGTATAAAAATAATATCAAATGGCCCAGTTAGCATAGGCAATGAAGAAGTAATTGTAGACCTAAATGAAGAAGACATTGAAACATACTCCATGCCTGTCACAAGTACTGTACAGTCCATTACTCTATCAAAATTTTGTTGTAAAGTATTGCATGAATGATTAGGACTATTCCTAAAGGAGTTCTTCATATTATTATTATCCTTGTATTGGCCTGGTTGAAAAAGACACATTTATGTATCATGATCAAGACCGTATTTATGTATTTAAGGTTTCTTTAACCAAGGTTTCTTTATCCATTCAGTGACTAGCACTGCTTGCCAAGGAACCACTGGTACATACAGTAAGTATAACAAAATATGTTTACAATCATGAAATTCAAAAGTAACTAAAAGTAAACCAAAAACAATGAAAAGATGGCCTAAAACTAAAATGGAAACCACCAAACCAAAATAAAGAAAAAAAGAACGAAAAAAAAAAAAAAGTTAAACTAGACTTGAACTCGTCACTGATGACGAGTTAGGTGGTGATCCGCTGGACATTTGAACTCTGATACTCAGCGTGCACTTGCAATGCGAATTGAAAAATTTATGGATACTCAAAATGTACTCAAATGTGCTATAATTTAGTTTTAAATAAGAGTAGTTTCAAGTTTTTCGCAAACGTACGCGCACATCATGACGTGCGTGTGGACGGTAATGGCACACGAAATTTAACCTTGTCAAGTGTCATTTAATTAAAAACGCCTGTTGGTCGGTAATGCCACACGAATTTTTCCTTTAATGCAACTATACTATACCAGTCTGATAGCATTGAAATACAGTCTGCCGCCCTCTTTCGCACATATTTTGAAGAAAGAAAGATGAGGGGTAAAAAAATCATTCATTTTGTCCATGATGACGTCATCAAAATGACGAATGAAGGGCACACTTTGTAGATAAAATACGCATTTATTGAATTCAGACGGCAATATGATGACGTCACAATGTCCGATCATCCAAAAAGATCTATAAAATAGTATCTACAACTCATGTGCTTTCAGAATATGTAATAAAAAATGGGGGTCACGTTTCATCCTAAGGAGCCATAACTGATTGAAAATAGGCATGATTCTGGAAAATTTTCAGCGTTACTGTCAGAAAAAAAACCAATTTATTTTGACCATGATGACGTCATCAAAATGTAAACAAAATTCACATTTATGAAAGAGAATTGTCTCAGCTATAACATACTCAAAGTTTGGAGAGACCGATTACACTGCCGTGATTCGGAAGAACGCATTATAAGCCAAAATCATAGTTCTAAGATATTGAGCTAAACACGTTACTTTTGTTATGGAAATGAACTTTATTGAATTTTTTGTGTAAATGTACTAATTACACAACAGAAAAACATACTAAAGTACATTTTTTGTATATTTTTTTTCTATAACCCAGTCAAAATGGACATAATGCGTTTTTCCAAATTAAAACAAAAGCCAATGAAGCATGAAAAATCTGATGTTAGGCATTATATCCAGTTTTGCCAGTAGAATGCATGCATTATTCTTTACTTAAGGAACAAATTAAAGTGAATTTTCACCAGGACTTTAGAGGTTTAAATTCCATTATGTTTAAATAACTTAAAACAAAACAAAATTTAATGTTTTTTAAGGATTTTTGTTTATATTATTTATAGCAACATTATTGCATTCACTCTCATAAAATATTTACAAAATATGTCTGATCTGATTTATTAGATGTTGTATTTCCCCTAAATGATTTGGTATGGTACATGTAAAATTTAAATTAAATACTATCGTTAATCACTACTGAAAGAACAAGCAACAACACTGTTAGTAAGTTTTTTACAACATAAATAATCAGATTATTTAAATTAACTATGAAGAATACCCCCTTTCAATTTAATAAACAAAAAAAATAAATAACAACTTAACTAATCACACTTCTTCAGGCCCATTTATAAATTTTTGTTTCCTTAAATTATAAGGAAGTGTACTCATTTTAATATAGATAAATATTTTAAATGTAAGTTTAGCATAGGTATTATATCTAAATTCCAAGCATTAGCTTAATTGGAAAGTCTAAGTAAAACATTTTTAAGTTTGATACGTATGTTTTTGTATGGTCTTAGTTATAATAATAATTATTTATATTACAGACTAAAATTTAAAATTTATATTATGGCCACAATTTGGTCATGGGCATATTGCAACTTATTCTTTAAAAGATGAAGAACAGTGCATTCTTCTTTTATTAATTGTACTCTAATCAAAAACAAACTTCGTATTATGCCTTATTATGCCCTTCCACCAGCTAGGGAACTAATTACATATGCATCATTGTCTTCTGTGATTGGTTGATTGCTCGCTTTTCAATGCTTGGTGGATATAATGCACTCTTCCGGATATTTTTCCTTTGGTGGATGGATATAATGCGTAATTCTCATATTAATTTCATATTTATAAACATTTTTTAGGGTATATGATCAATTCACATGATAGATTACATCCATAGGATGCCACTAAGCCAAAAATCTCAAAATTCTCAAAAATGGATATAATGCGTTTTTCCGAATCACGGCAGTACAGGTAAATGAGATAATCTCAAACGAGTATTTTAACAAATGTCATAGATAACAATTCAGTATTTTTTTTATTTCAGATGGCAATATGATGACGTCACAATGTCCGATCAGCCATTATCATCCATAAAATCATATCTACAACTTATGTGCTTTAAGAATAAGTAATACAAATTGGGGTCACCATTCATCCTAAGGAGCTATAACTGATTGAAAATAGGCATGATTTTGTCATAATTTTCAGTGTTTGTCGACAAAAACGCGCACAAGGATTCATACCTTTGATGGGCGAGTACGGCATTGCTGTTGGCCCTAAGATGACTGAAAGAAAAGGAAGTTTGTGAATACAGTGTCAGAAACCCAAAGCATGTAAAAAAACGAAAATTCCAGCGCAGTGTGGAAAATTTGAAAAATGCCTCGACCTGAAGTTTATGCCAACTGAATATCATTGAGAAATGACAATTGGTAAGGATATGATCGATAATGTAAAACTCGCAAAATTGCGCGTAGATGACGTCACGCATGACTTTGCACATTGAACAGCTCACATTGACTATTCCATGCCAAGCCAAATGTTCGTTGAAAAGCGCATGTACGTTGCTCACGGCAATTTTAATCTTAAGCTGATTTATTACCCAATCTTAGCAAAATCTTCGCTTAAAAATTGTCTTAGATGGTGCCCATGTACAATCTTTCTAGTTTTAAGAAATTTTTAAGCTAAGCGCAATATTGATAAATTTGACTTAAGAAAAAAAAATGTACTTAAGACTAATTTAAGCTGAATTCTAGATTGATAAATGTGGCTCCTGTTCATGAATACAGTGTCAGGAATTCAAAACATGTAACAAAACGTAATTCCCAACTTCAAATACAGTCTTTCGCCCTCTCTCTGAAAAGTGATATTGGGATTTCCTAATTCTACCGTACACGCACGTCACGATGTGTT